TGTACACAGACTACGGCTCCACGTTAAATGATGACGACATCATAATCAGTGTTGTTGTGTTTTCAGTCCTTCTGTTTAAAAAGTGGGGGCTGGGTAGGTTTAACGCTGTCATAGTTTTTATTCACACCCGTGCTGCTAGTTATGTTTCTATTGCAGATCTGTGTGGGTGAAATGTTCCCTTTCAGTGCTCAAATGTTCAAAACAAAATGTCACATTGATCACTGCAAATGATAAATATCATTAGCTGCAGGAAAGGGGTGGTGCAGTGGGTTCAGGGGTCGTGCTGTGGAGGCCGGCTGGTGCAGCTGCCAGTCTAGTTATGGCTCTCCTATTTCTATGCAGTAGTGCACATGGCTGTCAAGAAAACAGGACAGATAGACCTGGTGGGCACTGCTGAACAGCGAACATCACTGTATGTAAACAAAAATATTGTTAACATAAAAACCATGTGTGTCACATGCATGTGGCAGACGTGCTACACACCACCGTTCAACTACTGGCTGCATCTGCATGTAGGTCACTCGTAAATCTGTTTATTAAGTTCATGTCTCCAGGAGACAATATAAAAACACTGTAAAACAAACAACATTGAAAGCCTTTACTGTCATTATACATGGTATAACAAAATTGGAAACAGCTCTATAGCTCACCAGCAGAGGGGTGTTTAGTTGCTCCTTCCTAAGCACCTTTAGGAAGTGTAGCCGCTGCTGGGCTTTCTTGACTAGGGCCGTGGTGTTAGCTGCCCAGGAGAGGTCTGCAGAGATGTGGACGCCAAGGAATTTGAGGGACTTCACTCGCTCTACACATTCTCTGTTGATGTGCAGGGGGGCAGGGGCAGTTCTGTTCCGCATTAAGTCCAGGATGAGCTCCTTGGTCTTGTTGATGTTAAGTGCCAGGTTGTTTGATGCACACCATTCACCCAGTCGCAGGACCTCATCTCTGTAAACCGCCTCATTTCCCCCTGTGATCAGCCCCATCACTGTTGTGTCATCAGCAAATTTGACAGTGATGTTCTCTAGGTGGGCGGGACTGCAGTCATATGTGTAGAGGGAGTAGAGTAGTGGGCTTAGTACACAGCCCTGGGGAGAGCCGGTGGTGAGAGTGCGAGGGGAAGAGCGGTGAGGACCCAGTTTCACCCGCTGGGGTCTGTTGACCAGGAAGTCCTTTATCCAAGAGCAGGTGGATGGCGGGAGCCCTAGGTATTATTGTGTTAAAGGCAGAGCTGAAATCAATGAAGAGCATTCTGACATAGCTGTTCAGCTCTTCCACTAGCCCCGCGTCTGAGCCCCCAGGTGTCACAGAACATCCTTTGTAGTTGGTAATGGTCTGCATGTCTTGCACGCCTGTCTGGCGTCGTTGAGATGTTCCTCTATTCTCCTCTTGTATTCTGCTTTGGCGGTCCTGATGCCCCTCCTTAGGTTGGCTTGAGCGGTGCTGTACAATGCTCTGTCACCTGACCTGAAGGCTGTATCACGGACCCAGAGAAGCAAACGAACCTGGCTCATCCAGGGTTTCTGGTTCAGGAACACCCGGATGCACTTTTCCACAGTGACGTTCCCAATACAGCACTTGATGTAAGACAGTACTGTATCTGTGAATGTTGCCAGACCTTAATTGTAGAAGGCATCCCACTGTGTGTGTTCAAAGCAATCCTGCAATCGGGGGAGGGCGGCCTCAGGCCAGCTGGTGATGGCCCTCTTTATGGGCTCTGTTTGCCGGCTGAGGGGAGTGTATACTGGGGTTAGGAGAAGAGAGAGGTGGTGTGACTGACCCAGATGGGGGAGGGGTACAGCTCTGTAAGCATGCTTGATGTTGGAATACACATGATCCAGAGTGTTTTTCCCCTCTTGTTGGGCATTTTACGTGCTGGTAAAATTTTGGTAAAAAATTCTTGAGATTTGCCTTATTAAAATCCCCTCCTATGATTTGGACGCCGTTAGGGTGGGCACGCTGGTGAGAAGCGATGGCATTTAACAGCAGAGAGAGAGCTGTGTTTACATTAGCATCCAGTGCTATGTAGACTGCCGTGATTATT